TAGTAGTAGTCGTAGTCGTAGTCGTAGTCGTAGTAGTCGTCGTAGTAGTAGTAGTAGTAGTAGTAGTAGTAGTAGTAGTAGTAGTAGTAGTAGTAGTAATAGCAGTAGTAGTCGTAGGAATAGTAGTAGTAGTAGTAGTAGTAGTAGTAGGAGTAGGAGTAGGAGTAGGAGTAGTAGTAGTAGTAGTAGTAGTAGTAGTCGTCGTAGCTGAAGAGATGCTTAGTAGCCTGCTGCGCTTTGCATTCTGATGCTCGAATCTGCTGCAACGTTGAGTATCTGCTGTTTGCTGTTGTTTGTCTGCTGTGTTACCTGTTTGCGGAGTTGGCTGATGCAACCTCCGGTGCCATGACCCAAAAGGGGAAGAGAGAGGAGCAACCAGAGCTAGCGGATCCAGCACTCTGAACAGCCAATGGACACCATTTTTCAGTGGACACCCATGCCAAGAAACACCTTGCTTGCCTCCAGAGTGCCCTGGGTTTCTTGGGTTTCGATGGTTTTCATATGGAGAGAGAGAGCGTGCCGTTCCCATGCCAAAAATCAGTGGACGTCCTGGGGTCTCAGGGTTTGGTTTCTTGTGGAAGGTTTCTTGTGGTCGAGCTCCTACTGTACAGGCGTGCAGCTCGTCGTCAGCCTGGAGTCCAAGAGTGTGGGAAATCAATCGAACAACCAAACCAATTAATCCCATTAAGGGTGAAACCATTTTTACATGGAAACACCTTCAAGTTTTTGGCTTGATGGTTAGCCCGCCCTTGCAGAGTCATTCTGTCGGAACCCTCACAGGGATGCGGTTTTGTAGACCTCATCCCCCCTCTCGTCCCGTGCCCAATCAGTTTTTTCAACTGGAATGCTCCCTCCGCCGCTCGCACCGATTATATTTGTTTATCTATTTATATATATATATATAGAGAGATCTCAATTATTTTATATGGTGTGTATGTGTGTATATATATATATATATATATATATATATATATATATATATCCGGGGGAGCATTGCGCTTTCGCCTGAGACCTTCTTATGCAGACTGCAAGAGGAGCGTGACCTGATGCCTCGCCCGCCCGACCCGCCTGCTGGGGTCCGCCCGCCCGACCCGCTCGCTGGGGCCCGTCAGGGCCTGCCCGCCCGACCCGTCTGTCAGGGTCCGCTGGGTCGACTGACGAAGAGCCCGCCCGTCGGCTTTCCCGCCTCGACCGCCCCACCCGCCCTCGAGGGCCCGCCCGCCCGCCCTGCGCGGGCCCGCTCGCAGGAGAGCCGGCCGCTGCCGCGCCCCCTTGCGGGTCCGCGGGGTCGATGGTCCCCCAAAGTCAAAGCTGGAAGCCTCCCACTTGGCTGCCCCGCCAGCGCGACACGCCCCTTCCCGCCCAAGCGCACGTTGAGGGGTTTTGGGTGTACACGTTGAGTGGCGCGCGGGCGGCGAAGAGTGACCAGTCTTACACTGCTTGCCGGTGAATGTGTTGGCGCTGCTGCTTGCCTCGATTGCTTGTTTTCAGAGCTGTGGGGGCCCAGGCCGACGAGCTCCGCGTCGACACATGTTCTTTGGTGAACCCTCACGGGATGAGTTAGAGTTACATCGGCTTCTCGTTTCCAATAGTTTTTGATCTATGGCCCCCAGCCTGACGTCAGGCCTCGCTTCTCCTTATCCTGGCTCTCGACGTCCCCACCCGCCGCTTGGTACTGCTGCTCCTTCTGCTCCTGCATATTTATCCTGCTGCCGTTTCTGATGATGCTCCTCACTGTGCTGCTGGCGCTGAAGCCTCCTGCTGATGCTCCTCCCCCTCATTGTCGTGCTGCAGCTCATCCTCATCATGCTGCTGGTTCTCCATAGCTCTTCTCATCTGCTATTACCCGCTCCCCCTTCTCCCAACACTGAAGACGCAGACACAATAATCAGTTTGGGCTCGGGAGTGGATCTGATATTGGGGCCATTCCTTAGATCCAGGTAGGGCAACCTGTTCGAAGCCGAGGCTCGCCGTGGCCAGAAAAGCCCCTTCGTTCCTTATTCAGCGTTCCTCATCGTAGCACGATGGCTGTATCCTGATGCTGCTCATCAGTCACCTTCTGCTGGAACATGATCGACCCACGAACCTGGAAAAGAATATAGAGATGTATCGCATGGCAACGTTTTCAATGACACCTGATTGGGTGACGGGCAAATGCAATGCTGAGTGTATCGATCTTGATGTACCCTGCCGAGGGCTGTGCTGTGCTGCACCTTTCTGAATTGCGATGTGCCATGCCGCGAGTGTGCTCTATAGGGTCGTGGATCGAGTCCTCCTTTGCATCCGAGTCCTGACCGAACTGATCTGGATCTTAAGCTCGAGCTGCCTGAACACACAGTAGCTGCCCCAGAGCTAATTGACAGGAGGACATGCCAGGAGGACGCGCCGCGGAACGTCCCAAGGGACGCGCCAGGCGACGTGCCAGGGGACGTGCCATGGGGAATGGATGTGCCACGGGACGTGCCAGGGGACGCGCCACGCGACGTGCCAGGGGGACTCGCCAAGAGACGCCCCACGGAACGTGCCAAGGAATGTGCCAGGTTGCAATGCTGAGTGTGTCGGTCTTGATGTACCGTTGCGAAGTCTGTGCTGCGCTGCGCCGTGCTGAATGGCGATGTGCCATGCCGCGATTGTGCTCTATAGCGTTGTGGATCGAGTCCTCCTTTGCATCCGAGTCCTGACCGAACTGATCTGGATCTTAAGCTCGAGCTGTCTGAACACATAGTAGCTGCCCCAGAGCTAATTGACAGGGGGACATGCCAGGAGGACGCGCCGCGGAACGTCTCAAGGGACGCGCCAAGCGACGTGCCAGGGGATGTGCCATGGGGACGCACCGCGGGACGTGCCAAGGGGACGCGCTACGGAACGTGCTGGGGACAAGCGTTTCGCTCGAGACATCCTGTCAACATCCTCATGCTAAACATCCGCCTGAGCGCCCTGGACACGTGAAAACAAGCGATTCGCTCAACACATCCTCAACGCATTCTCATGCTAGACATCCGCCTGGGCGAACTGGACACGTGAAAACAAGTGGTTCGCTCGAGACATCCTCAACACATCTTCATGTGAGACGTCCGCCTCGGTGACCTGGGCACGTGAAAACAAGCGTTTCGCTCGAGACGTTTTCAACACCTCCTCATTCTAGACATCCGCCTGGGCGACCTGCACACGTAAAAACGAACGTCTCGCTCGAGACATCCTCAACACATCTTCATATTAGACATCCGCCTGGGCGACCTGGACACGTGAAAACAAGAGTATCTCTCGAGACATTCTCAACGCATCCTCATGCTAGGCATTCGCCTGGGCAACCTGGACACGTGCAAACAAGCATCTCGATCGAGACTTCCTCAACACATCCTCATGCTACACATCCGCCTGGGCGACGAGGACGCATGAAACTAAGCGTCTCGCTCGAGACATCCTCAACAAATCTTGGCGCTAGACCTGTGCCTGGGCAACCTGTAGGCGTGAAACCAAGCGTCTCGCTCGAGACATCCTCAAGACCTGGGCACGTGAAAATAAGCATTTCACTTGAGAGATCCTCTGAATTTTGGTCCCCAGGAGAGGACAATCTATAACACAAAACAAGCGTTTCGCTCGAGACATCCTCAACAAATTCTGAAAAACAAGCGTTTCCCTAGGGATATCCTGAAATTTTAATTCGCCGGCCCTCTTCCCACTCGTTATTTATCGCAAAAGAAATCCGCCGGCCCTCTTCCCGTCAGATCCGGGGGTAAACCTCTAAAAGAGAACCCTGGGCCTGCGCCCTTTCCGGGAAAAAGGAGCAGGAGTAGAAGGAGGGGTGGGTGGAAGAGGATCAGCAACAGCAGGAGGCGGATGACGAGGAGCGAGAGCAGGATGAGGGGGGGACGCAGGAGGAGCAGCATGTGATTGAGCAGGAGATGAGGAGAGCATGAGAAGGCCTGCAATATCACTTGAAGCCTGCTGGCGAGGAGCAAGAGGATCAGGAAGGGGACGGGCCGCACCAGCAGCCTACCCAGGATGGGTAGGAGGGGCACTGTCCCGTATGTGTAGGAAATAATCACGTTTCACTCTGCCGAGGGGAACTTCGACACATACCCCCGCGACGGGACATACACATATACATATGTATTTATAGATAAACAGGAGAGACATATAGATGTGCATAGACATAGACATTTGCAAACATACATGTATCTCTCGATCACTCTCTCTTGGCATATACACATACGTGTATTCATGTATGTGTACATGTATGTATGCACGTACGTATGTATGCATGTGTGCATGTCTGTATGTATACATGTATGTCTGTATGCATACATGCATGTATGCATGTATGTCTGTATGTATACATGGATACATGGACGCATGTATGCACGTGGGCATGTACGCATGCATGTATCTATGCATATATGCATATCTGTATGTATGCATGCATGTGTGTATATGCATGCATGTATGTATGTGTGCATGCATGTGTATACGCACGTCCGTACGTCCGTACGTGCGTATGCATGTATGCATGTATGCATGTATGCATGTAGGTGTGTATGTATGTGTGTATGTCTGTATGCATGTATGTATGCATGTGCGTAATTAGGTCGGTAATTAGGAATGTAGCGATGTCGGTAGGTTGATAGCTCGGTAGGCACGTGTGTATGTATGTATGTACGTATGCATATGCGTATACATGTATCCATGTATGTCTGTATGTATATATATATATATATATATATATATATATATATATGCGTATGTATATATATATATGTGTTTATGATCATGTATATGAACATCAAATGCGTATATACACATGCATATGTATTTGTATACGTATGTTTGTATGTAGATGTATACGCATATGTATATATTTATGTATATGTATAGGTATTTGTACATGCATACACATACATGTCAATGTACGTACATATGTATATGCATGTGTACATGTATTTGTATACATATATATTTGTGCATATATGCGCATATGCTTACGTATATGTATACACATATGTATATGTATATATGTTTACGTACTTATCGATGTATATGTATGCATGAATATATATGTATATTCACATATATATATATATTTATTTATGTATATTTATACGTGTAGGTCTATGTCTGTGTAAAGGTACATGTCTATGTCTATGCCACTGTCCATGTCTATGTATATGTATATGTATATGTGTCTGTATATGAATATGTATATGTATATGTTTATGTATATGTATGTCGGAAGGGTGTCTCGGGCTGCGCGGGAGCGTGTTGGGCCGTTCTTTACGTTCTGGGGTCTCCTTGGGGTCGTCTTGGGCTGTCCTTGGGCGTCTTGGGGCCCCCCCGGGAAGCTGGGAGGCGCGGAACCCGCCAGAGGTCAGGGGATGTGTGGGATCTCCGAGTAGGAGTCCCACTTTTAGAAAAAAGAAACATAGTTTTTAACACATATTTTCAAACCACATATTTATATAGAACAAACTTCTCGATCTTCGAGGGTTGGAAGCGGGAAAACGTGAGAAGGCGAAGCACATTAGAAACACGATTGGAAATCAACAATTCAACCTTCTTTGGGCTCCCTCGGGACGGCTCTCGCAGCTCTCTTGGGCTGTTCTTGGAGCCTCGGGTTGGGGTGGTCTGGCAGGTTTGTGAAGGACGATCAATGGAGAGGAAGCATGCTGCCAAATCATCTCCAGATGTCAAACGCATGTTTCAAACATGTTTTAAATATGTAAGACATGTTTGAAACATTTTTAGAACATGTTACACACATTTTAAACACATTCTTAATTCAATGGTAGGATTGTTGGAGCGTCCATTGTCATGGCATCCACAATGGTAGGTAGTCATGACTTGCAGCATGCGACACATGCACACACTTTCGCATGTCCGCGGCGCGGTTTCTTCCTGGGTTGGCCCTGGCCGCTCCCTGGCGCTCGATGTGCGCCACGGGGCGCTGGCGTTAAGTCGGGCCTGCCCCTCCAAAGGGGGAAAATTGAAAAATAGTACAAAAATAGTCTGGGGACTATTTTTTGAGTATTTTTTGACCACTGTGGAGTCTTTTTTTGAGTATTTTTTATTTTTCGTCGAAGATCCTCCTGTAGGGGGACACGCTCGACTTAACGCTGGCGCGCCGCCGCAGGCGCCGTCCGGGTTGAGGGGGAGGAGGGTCCAGCGCTGGCCCAAGAAATCCGCGCTGATGTCGGGGCTCAAGGGACGGGGGGTCAGTCAGAGCGCCAGATCCCGCAGGATCCTGAAGTGCCAGGGTCGCACTGACCCGGGCTTTGGGTGCAGGATCCTGCAAGGCCCGACTGACCCGGGTGTGAATTGATCTGGGTCAGTAGATCCCCGATGCTATTTTTTATTTGCTCTCTCTCTCTCTCTCTTTCTCTTTCGTTCTCTCTTATGGTTGTGTTTGTATGTGTGTGTGTGTTTCTTGATTTTGTTGGATTTCCTCCAGACTATTTAAAATGGTGCGCAGAACTTGTGCAAGCGTTGCTGCAGGACTTCTTCGACGCGTCGCCCACGATGGCGGACCAGTCCTACACGCCTCAGTCTGGCGAGATCTTCGGCATCCTCACACAGATGAAGGACCATTCCTCCTTCAGAGTAGTTGCTCATTCTCCTCTTGCTCCTCCTCTCCTCTTCTTCCTCTCCTCCCTTCTCACTCCTGCGCCTTACCTCCTCCCTCCTCCCTCCTCCTCCTCTTCCTCCTCCTCCACTTCCTCCTCCTCCTCCTTCTCCGCCTTCTTACCCTCCACCTCTCCTTCCCCCTCCTTTTTGAAGTTCGCGCAGGAAGGAAGAGGGGGTCGCCGAGGAGGAGAAAGGGGGAGGGTGAGGACGAACCCGAGGCGAGGGCGGGGGCTCAGGAGGAGGCCAGAGGGATTGAGAAAACGAGGGGCGGACCCACCCCGCGACCCACCCCGCGACCCACCCGCGACCCCACCCGCGACCCACCCCGCGACCCACCCGCGACCCACCCCGCGACCCACCCGCGACCCACCCGCGACCCATCCGCGACCCAGCCCGCGACCCACCCGCGACTCACTCGCGACCCATCCGGCGATCCACCCAGATTGCTTCAACGAAAAATCGGCGCCTGCGGCGGGTTCACTGCATAATCTGTAAAAGTTAGGCGCTTGCGGCGGGCTGACTGACGGCGGACTCGCAGACTGACGATGTCCTCGCCGCCCCCATCACTCTTATCCGCAACTGCGGGGTGCTACGTATCGCATATTATTTTCCCTCAAACTCTTCACGAACTTGTTTAACTTTGGATGGATATCGAAGGGTGGAGGGGCAACGCCTCGTTAGGGGCCTAACAACTTCTGCTGTCCCTCCACTCCCCCGGGATCGTGTTTCGTCCTGGGTCCATCTTGATGGCCCCGGGGGACCCCGTAACGTGCCCCGGAGGCTGAGGCAGAGGCAACACGCAGGGATTGAAAAGGCTATTTCGGCGGCGATCTGGGGACCCCCCCGACAGGGGGGCCTTTGGAGGCCACTGCCGCCCCGCGGCGCGGCGTGGCCAGGGCATGTCCTGTCCCGCCTCCTGCTCTTCCGCCGATGGCGAGGGCGACTCCGCCGATTTTCGGGGCGCAGAAGAGAGCGGAGGAGAGTCCGGGCCACCCGCGCGATGCGAGATCGCCGAGGGGGAAGGTGACCGTTGCCCAGTTGTCGGGGGAACGCGGGCACGTATTCGGGCGCGTGGAGTAGCGACTCAGATGAGGAAAAGGTGGCCATGCTGCTACCCTTCCCTCGCTTTCGCCTTTTTGGGCCTCCTGTGGGGCCCTCGTCGCCACCGCTGTGTTCACCTCGAAATTCTGATCAGAACGCACATCCCCCAGGGGGAGGTTCAGGGAGTAGCGGTATCGGTGCGGTTTGGGTTCCCCACAAACGCAGGCATGGATTCAGGCGCGTGGAGTAGCGACGGGTCTCGGTTCCAGGCGAGGTCGGCGCGCTTTGTCGCCGAATCAGGTGCACTGGCCTCATGTTTTAGGATTTACAGTCGGCCCGGATTAGTAGGTCGACGCTGCCAGCTCAAGGCCACCCTTGGTGTCCTGTGCCTCGCGACACGTGCCTTCTTACACTCCCATGGCGATGTGGCCCTCGGAAGGGTCTTGTGTCCTCTCGCGTGTCCTGACCAATCAAGGCCGACTGTACTCTCCGCGATGCGTGGATCTGAGAAGCGGTCCGTGCCAGCGGAGAAGGTTTAGAAAGCTGCTCAGAAGGCCAGACCCCTGTGGGGAACGAGGTGGACCAGATACCCGTCGCGCATGTGTCGAGGAGGAGGAGGAGGAGGAGGAGGAGGAGGAGGAGGAGGAGGAGGAGGAGGAGGACTAGGACTAGACTAGGAGGAGGAGGAGGAGGAGGAGGAGGAGGAGGAGGAGGAGGAGGAGGAGGAGGAGGAGGAGGAAGGAGGAGAGGAGGAGGAGGAGGAGGAGGAGGAGGAGGAGGAGGACCGTAATCCATGCCAGAGTGCGCCCGCACTGGCATATCTGGCAGCTCGTGCTGCAGCTCTTGCTGCGGCCGCCGAGGTCCGCGCCCGGCCGCTCCTCCCCTGCTGCCGGGAGCCCTCCTCGCCGCCGCCGCGCGGCTGGTGCGACAAGCCCCGGCGCGCGCTCGGCACGGCCTGGCCAAGTGGGCCGGGCGAGGCCGAGCCGCACGGCGTTCGTCGTCGTCGTCGTCGTCTTCGTCGTCGTTATCGTCTTCGTCGTCTCTGAGGTTCGGAGGGGCATCTTCGTTGTTGAGGTTCGTCGTCGCTGTCGTCGCCGTCGTCGATTTCGTTTAGACGTTTTTGGCTGTTTCTGGAGGTTCGGAGCGGCGCCTCTGTCTGCTTAGGAGCCCTGGCCAGGACAGCATGGCTCGATTGGCCTCGGGCGGCGCCGTTGCCGTCGAGTGGGCTATACCAGAGTGCGATGCATCGCTATCGTCGTGTTCATGCTGTATTCACCTCCAAAACGCGGTCTTGTCGCGACGTCGTTATGGTCTATCCTCCTTTTCTTTTTCCTCAGTCGCCGCCCCCTGCTTCTCCTTGCATCACCCTGAATCCTGGAGAGAGTAAGTGTCAAGGTTGAGAGGGATGTGCAGGCGTGGGTGCATGCGTTCTCTACTGGCTTGACGACTCTTCTCCAATCGACTTGCGGGGATCAAGCCTGGTAAATCGAGGCATCTCCAGGTACATCGACACAATCCCGATATATCGAGGTAAATCCAGGGAGATCTCCAGCTAAGTCTGTGGCAGATCGTGGACGCTCCAGTGTGAGCCGAGAGACAGCAGAGGGCGTTAGGCTCTTAACGAGGCGTTGCCCCTCCATTCTGGGGTCTCCCTCTGTTTCCTAGGAAGAAACAACGGCACAAGCATCAACTGTCGGACGTCCGTGCGGATTCTTGGATATGCGCTGGGGGCCCCCCCGGCGCGCAGAGCACCCCTGGCGCGCGGAGAGCGCGCCAGGGGCGGCGCCGGAGGCACCGCCAGGGGGGCCCCAGCGCCGATCCGAGATTTGCTTATGTCATTGTTTGTTCCCCTCCATCGGTCCCGCGCCCACTGCCAGGTCACTTCAGCCCTGGTTGGCCGCACTGGCGCGCTCACCCTCAACGTCTTTCCGCGGTGAGTGCCCTCCTCCCGATCCTTTCCTTTGCGCGCGCCCTGTCTTCCCAGGTCCCCTCTCTTGCAGCCGGACAGCTAGTTAGTCGTGCGTCCCCGACTATTGCGAGCGCCCGTGCGGATTGTCTCTGCCGTCCTGTGTTGCCTGGGAGCTGGCGCTTGGCTCTACACGTCCGAAACATGTTGTTTCTTACCCTCCATCCTGGGATAGGCGGCGAGTGAGGGGGGGAAGCGAGAAGGAGAAGGCCTTCTCAGAGTGCAGAGGGACTTCTCAGAGGCCCTCGCGCCTTCCGAGAGGTTCTCTTTGCCTTCGGGGAAGGCCTGGTACGCTTCGCAGAAGGGCGGGGGACGTCCGAGCCCCGTGAGAAGGCCTGCCCCTCCTACCCCCCCCCAGGCTCGCCGCCGACCCAGGCGGCGGAGGTTGTCCGTCCTCTACTCCGCACAGTCCAACCCCTAGCCCCAATACCACCAAGAGGTCGTGGCCCAACTCGGGTCCCCAGACGCATGGGTGGCCTCGTCGGACGCCGTGGGCTTCCATCCCATCCCTCGCTCGCCGCCGGTGGGATCTCTCTTCCTCTTCGCCCGCCGCCCGGCGAGGAGACGTTCGAGAAGGACCTGAGCGAGTCGCAGAAGACGGAAGAGCAGAGGGTGAAGGCCTTCGAGGAGGGCCGCGGCCGCCCGTGCCGGGCGGGGGCCGCCCCCTCCTTTTCCTCCTCCGCCTCCTCCGCCTCCTTCTCCTCCTCCTCCTCCTTCTCCTCCTTCCCTCCTCCTCCTCCTCCTCCTCCTTCCCTCCTCCTCCTCCTCCTCCAGGACGAAGTGGCTTCGCCAGGGGGAAACCCAGACGCCCGCGCGGTGTGACAAAAATCGCTGCGCGATGGTTTTCGCTGTTTTCGGCCGCCGGGGGCCCCGAACGGGCCTCGGGATCGTGAAACAGCGACTCGGGATCAGAAGCCCGTCCCGGGGAAGGGGTCGCGACCTCTTGTGAGCAAATCACCACGCCAGGGGTCTGGGAGCGGGTCCTGAGGGAACGGGCCCTGAGGTTTTTGCCGTTTTCGGGTTCTCGGGGCCCTCAACGGGTCCTGGGACTGTCAGAAAACGGCTCAGGATGAGGATCTCGTCCTGGGGGAAGGCCCTGGGGTCCAGGACCCGTTTCCCTCAGGACCCGTTTCCCCTACGTATGCTGACGGCCGAGGGGCGTGGCGGAATTCGGGATCCCCCACAAGGGCCAGGCACCACACCGCGAGTCGGAGGAGGAAAAGGTACCCGCGCCGCTGCCCTGAAGTCGGGCCTGTCCCTCTACAGAAAAAATAGTCAGTTTTTTTTTAAAGGTTTTTTTTTGTTGACCATTTTGGAGTATTTTTTGAGTATTTTTATTTTTCGTCGAAGATCCCCCTGTAGGGGGGACGCGCCCGACTTAACACTGCCCTTCCCTCGCTTTCGCCTTTCTTGGCCTCCTGGGAGGCCCTCGTCGCCACCGCTGGATTCGCCTCGAAAGTCTGGTCAGGAAACACCCCTGGAGCAGTCCGGCGAGTATCCGTACCTTTTGGCTTCCCAGTTGTGGTCAGTCGGTGGGGATTGGGGGTTTTCGTCGGTGCCTGGAGGTTTTCCTGCCTCAGTTGTGCCTCGCCGAGCGCGTGCCGGTGTTTGCCCGGACCGCCCCGAACGGCCGTTGGAGGCTCGAGTGTCACCACCCGACAAAATTGGGCGTCGAGGAGTGTGAGGATTTTCCAGGGGTTCCATGAAGCGATGACATTAACGGGCGAGGTAGATCTGCATAGCGATTCCGGCTACCGCCGCCTGAACGGCGACGCCGATGACGAGGTCGAAGGTCCCGGCATTCGCGGGGCAAACTTGTTGAGGCGTGGACACGCGCCTGCTGGCGGGCATGTCGTCCATCTTGTCGACGCGCGCTGCAAGTCTCACCGCTTGCAAGTCCGATCTTGCTATTCGGCTGAAACATGGGCAGCAGCCCATAACGTGACGGAATGCAATCCACCGATTGTTGCGCCGCATGAACTCCAAGCAGGGCCGCTGAAACCCATTCAGTTGGAGGATTTCCGTGAGATGGGCGGCCCCAGCGTTAAGGCCACCCTGACCATTGAGGCGGAATGTGTCTTCAAGTTTTCGTCAAGCAAAGACATGAAGAAGCTGGCTGAATGCGCCCTCTTGGGTCGCATCAGTTGGGCGCGGCCAAGGATGGGGCACGGCGTCGCGCATTTCGCGTGGCGGCGTGACACCCGCGACGCGACTGCAGATGGTCGCGCCAAGGGGGCATCGATCGAGATTTGCTATTTGCTCTTGCAAGTATGGAAGGAATGCAATCTTTGAGGCGCGACTTGAAGCGACGCGCACCCTGCAGGGCTGGCCGGGCGAAACCATCTGAGCCGCCCGAGGAGTATTGAGTTGCGGGGTAACCTGCTAAGGTTGAGCCCGCTGGCTGCTGCCTTTTCTTTGTAAAGTAGCTGGTTTGCCGAGTCAGGCTGGGCGCGGGCTCGCGCTTCGCCCTCTCCCCCCCGACCCTGAGCGAGGAAGCGCACAGGGGAGAGGTATCGAGCGTTTGCCCGCGGCCGTTTGGGCTCGAGCGACCGGCCGCCAATTTGACCGGGTCGCGCCGCGGCCCGCTATCTGACATCGATGCGGAAAACAATCCCTGGAGATGGCCCCAGTCCGCTGACGCTGTCATCTCCTACCTCTTGCTCTATCGTTATCGGCGTCCCCCCAACATACTTATACTATGTGTTCGTTGCCCCCCCAGGGGCGACGCGCGCACCGAGAAATCTTGTAGTATACGCGTCGTGGCGGGCGCTTTCTGGCCACACCGCTCGAGAAACGATATACTACAAGATGGGTATACTATATGTTCGGGTCGGACGCGCGCCTCCAAGGTGGACATATAGTATTAGTATGTCTTTGTGCGTCCCACGTTAATGCGGTGCAACAGGGTTGGACGTATGCAACGCCTAAGGCGTAGTATCCGGTTGGGTCTCCCAACTAGTTTTAAACTGCAAAACTATACGCACATATATTTGTATATATATATATATATATATATATATAATATATATACACACGACCAAACTACCAAATAACAACAACATCCATGCCCTGGCGTGTGTCCACTCGTGATCTGAAAAGCGCGTCCAGTGCAAATCGGAGATGATGCCACGCCCCCAATCTCCTTATTACCGAAATGGTGGTCTATGCGGTATGGAGCTAATGTTCCCCGATCCGGCTCTGCTTCAAGGTATTTCAACTCTTCTTGAAAACCCTTGGGTGCCTGGCCTGGCCTTTGCTGGCCTTCCCCAGGGTTGCCCACTTGCCCAGCCTTCCTCGCGTTGCTCGATTGCTCGGCTTTCCTCGGGTTGCCGGGCCGTCCTCCGGTTGCCAAGCCTTCTTCGGGTTGCCCAATTGCCCGGTTCCACGTTTGTCCGGTGCCCGTTTGTTTGGTGCCCGGTTGCTCGGTTGCCCGGGTTGCCTTGTTTTTGTGGTTGCCTGGTTGCTTGGGTTGCCAGGTCGTAAGGTTGCCAAGCAAGGCGCAGCAATGCCAAGCAATGCCAAGCAGCGTTATTCCAAACAGTGCCCCGCACTGCAAAGCAACAGGCATTGCCAAGCAACGCCAAGCAAAGCCGTGCAATTCAGTGCAAAGTCCAGCGACGCCAAGCAATGCCAAGCAGTGCCAAGCAACGCCAAGCAACGCTAAACAATGCCAAGCAACGCTAAACAATGCCAAGCAATGCCAAGCAACGCCAAGCAATGCCAAGCAATGTCAAGCATGTGCAAGCAACTCCAAACAATGCCAGGCAACCAGGCAATGCGAAGCAGCGCCAAGCACTGCCAGGCAACGCTAAGCAATACCAAGCCATGCCAAGCACCGCCAAGCACCGCCAAACAATGCCAGGCAACGCCAAGCAACGCCAAGCAACGCCAGATAATGCCAAGCAGTGCCGCTTGGGAAGCGTTCCCCTATTTGGCGTCGCGCCGGGGTCATATTCACAATGTGTTTGGCCCCTTGAGCCCGATTCCGAAGCGCTCTGTAGCCATTTTGGCTCTAGCTGCTCGCGCGGGCGCGCCCCCGGGGCTCAAACCGGCTCGTCATGGGCGTCCGGAGTTGAAGTTTCTGGAGGTGGTCCGCCGGGGGATGGCCGCGGGAGGCGCTTCGGACGCGGGGCGCATCGTCCTGCGGGGTCACGCTGGTGCGCGGGCCTCCGCAGACAACCTCATCGTGAAGCTCAAGGCGAAGCTCTCGGCGGCCGAAGGCGAGCTGCAGCGGCTTCGGGCTCTGGTTGCGGCGCCTCCCGACGCGTCCGTCGCGGCGGAGGTGGCGCGGCGTGAGGCCATCGCTCGGCCCGCCTTGCAGGCCCTCGTCGAAGGCTCGCAGGTGCCTGGTATACGCAGGCTGGAGCGCAATTGTGCCCTTCATGCCGCGTGCTGCCCACCTGCGGGGGCGCCAGTCGCTGACTGGAGGCGTGCCCAGCATGGGGCCCGCCTGGGCAGGGCGGTCGGCCTAGGCGGTAATGGGCTAGGCTGCACTTGTGGCACTGTGGTGTTCTCCTCTTGCCACGTGGTTGTGAAAGAGTGGAGCCTGCGCGCTGATGCTTCTCCTTTCGTGCCTGGAGCTGGGGTCTGGGTCCCCTTGCCCTCTGATGCTGCAGGCGATTCGATGGCCGTGGCTGCCGATGTTGCTTCACGTGTTTCTTCGGTGGGAGCAGTCGACACCCTCGGTGCCGATATGGTTGATGATCATCACGATGAGGCAGACGCCAGCACCGTCGAAGACGAGTTCTGCGCGCTCGTGGAAGAGCAGCTGGTGGCCTGGTCTGGCGCTGGCAGATCTTCCAAGCCCTTCGTGCAGCTCCGCAAGCGGCTCGACGGTGTTCATGGCGTTTCACGCGAAGGAGGTGCTGCGGCTGCTCCTTCGTCTGTGCCTGCTGACGGCGAGGGAGCTCCTGAGGTATCTGCATGCGCTTGGGTACCGATGCATCTTCCTCATGATCCTGGAGAGGGCCGCCTTTTCAGTATGCAGTCTGCCTTCAGCTGGTTATAGATAGCCACGGTGTGTTTCTGGGATATTTTACCTTGTTCTGGTATTACATGCTCTTCCTCGGCATTATGCTTTTTCCATGAACGACGGGGCTTCCTGGCATTTGGGTATCCGCTCTGTGTTGTATGTGGCTGCCGCGTGGATCGGGATAGAGTTTTGTGGTATCGGGCTCGGCTAAATATGCATTGAACCTCGCCGTGTGCGTACAGTGCCTCCCCCTGTTGCTGTGCGCGGTGTGCCTCTCATCCGAAGTTTTCTCGCTTTCGGAGGCGGCACTTCAGGGGCGTTGGCGTGGATGTCAAAAAAAAAGCCCGATTCCGAAGCGGCCAAGACGGCACATTTGGAGAAGGCTCCCAGGTGAGATTTCGGGGAGCGCACATTATACCACAATCGTCCCCTCACATATATGTATAGGTACATTTGTGTATGTACACGTATACGTCCGAATGTACATAGGTTGGAGGTGGAGGAACACCTCAGGGACGAGGACGAGGGGGAGGAGGAATAGGACCTGTGTAAACCAAAAACGTATCAGCGACATTACATGAGATCCTCCCTCCAAGTTTCCTCTTCATAGGCCCCTACACGGATTCATTCTCACTGAGGAAATTGCCCCCGTTGGAAGACAACCGCGCGAAAATCTTGAAGTGTGCACGAATGCCATTCTTGGGACACCAACGCCGCGAATCACTTTCATTGTTGCGTCTTGATGACCCGGAATCGTGCCAGAACGCCATTCCTGGGATTTCAACACCGCGAATCAACGTGACTGTTGCGCCCTGGCATTCCGACGTTACCCATGATAATTTTTGAAGCTGTTGCATCTGTTTAAATCGAATGTGCGCGGTGCTAAGGCGAGGACCACATTTTGAAAACGGACCGCCTTCCATCAGCGAAAGTATTGCAAGTTTTCTAGACGAATGTGTGCGGCTCTAAGGTGAGAATTACATTTTGAAAACGGGCCGCCCTACATCCGTGAAGCTGGTTCAAGTTTCTCAGACGAATGTGCTCGGCGATTAGGCGAGCGCCTCATTTTGAATAGGAGCCGCCCTCTATCCTTGAAGCTGTTGCGTTTTCGCGACAGATGTGCGCGGCGCTCAGGCGAGAGCCACATTTTGGAAACGGGCCGCCCTCCATCCGTGAACTCTTGCAAAGTTTACGCTTTCGGATTATATAGGGTGAGGACGTCTCAGGCGAAACCCCCGGCTCGCCATTTCGACTGGCCTCGGGGTGCGTCAAGAAGGAATTATTTATAGGGAGAAAGGATGGAGGAGCAGGATGACGATGAAGAACAGCAAGTAGGAAAAGAGGAGGCGGAGAAGGAGCAGGGGGAACATGAGCAGCAGCAGGAGGAGGGGGAGGAGGAGGAGGAGGAGGAGGAGGAGGAGGAGAGGAGGAGAGGGAGCGGGAGGGGTAGCAGAATTAGGGAGCAGGGAGACGAGGAGAAACAACAGGAATGATAGGAGTACTTTAGCCCCCTGTGTTTCGTGGCTCGGCAGTTTCGACGGCCCTGCCGACCCGTCGCGCAGGAGATCAAGAAGTTGAAGGAAGATGAGATCTTCGCAGGGCAGGCCCAGATTGAGAAGAAGACAGAGGATTTGCTTCCCTCCTCCTCCTCCTCCTCCTCCTCCCACCTTTGTCATACGTTCTACTCACGTGTCCTACTCATGCGTCCACTTCACATCAACCATCCCAGCATTCATTGCGCAACACAGCGCTGCTCTTTTGGTTTGATCCTGGTGTAGTTTTTCATGGTCGCCTTCCAGGCTTACACACAGCAGAAATAAGGTGCGCCTGCATCAGGAACTCGAGGTACTCGTAAAGGCAGCGGTCGGACCCCCTGGTGGTTTTAGCCATTGACGAGCCTGGACTAACTTTAGCAACCAACATGACTTCCTCCAGCCAGACACGGGCAATCTCAAACATGCCAAAGAAAGATGCACGCCATAGTCCTCTGTCGGGCAATCCACGTGTATACTCGAGTGCTGCGCGCGCCCACACGTGTCTGCTCGTTCACCCCTGAAGCGAGGGCCTCCCGCCAAGACGTCGAAACCAGCCGACGAGTGGTGCAATTCGTTCTGCGAAGCGCACCGCTCTGCATTGTATCGGTGCCACCGCCGCTCGATCTTTGCCTTCAGCACGACATCGCTCCGAGCTGCCTCGTCTCTGTCGTTCGTGCGAGAAGAGCGTTTCGGATGATGCCGAGTTGCCTTGCGCACATGTCCTTGCGCGCCCTCTCTCCGCGTTGTTCCGTTTCGTGGTCATGCGAGAGGGGCGTCTCAGGCCCTGGCATTTTGCTGGCCACGGGCTCGCTTCGGAATCGTCGGTCCGACACTCTTCCTGGTGTGCATCGCCTTGCCCGACGGCGCTTCACGCGCCGTCGGGTGGTGTAGTCCTTGGCGCCGTCGGCCGCGGACATAGTCTTCACCGCGTTTTAATGAAATTGGCGTGCGTGCCCTTGCTCTTGCACAAGGGGGCTGCGTGGGACCTCCACACCTTTAGTCAATCTGCTGCGTGGGCCCTCCACACATGAAACTTAGAAAGTCCAGGGTTCGCTAGGGATGGGGTTCCCCCAGAACGACGAAAACGGTTCCGAACCCTCCCGAAACCCTCCGAAAAGCCTCCCAACACCATTCCAGCAGGGTGTTCGGAGGGTGGGAGAGTTTCGGCCGTTTTGAAGGGAATCCTGTGTCGATCGAACCCCGTATTGTCTAACATGATGCTAACGCGTGGGTCTTCCGTATGCTAAATCAAGATGCAGGCATTCCTCCCCAGGCATGTGTCGCGCTAGTCCTGGCTCTTGCACGAGAGAACGGGCAATGACAGGAGGACCAGGGTGTGGAGGGGGAAGTTTCTCGGCGGCCATCCTGGGGCTTTCCTGGAGCCGTCGTGGGTAGACGGGGTCAGGTGGGGACCCCCGGGGGGGGGCGGCGAACGAACCATGGTGAGGACAATGAAGGGCTCCGAACTCTAGAGCACACTTGCGCAGCATCATGCATAGGCGATATCCTCTGTCTACGTGCAATTTCCCCCTCGCTGCCTCCCCTGGGTAGCATGCGAAGGTCCCACCCTCTTGTTCTGCGGGTCGGCGAGGAGCTCGCCGACACGGACGAGCGGCTGGCGCACGCGAAGGAAGATATTGTGGACACCAAGGCTGGAGGGAGGGAGTGCGAGGCCGAGCAGGTGGGAGGGGGGTGGACTCCACGCAGGCCTGTCACCCTTTACCCTGGAAAGGTCCTCGTGGGGTTCCCGTTTCCTCTCTTCGTTTTTTCGTCCTCCTCCATGGCCTTCAGCTTAGAATGGTGTGAGGCGCTCTCGCCTGTCTAGTGCCCCCCAAACAGCGTTCACTCTGGTCATCCTGATGCCCTTGCCGTCCGACTCTGAGATGGTGGTGACCCCATTACCCTGAGATGCTGGCGCTGCAGTTTTTCTCACTAGGATTTTTCGCATAGTTTCGGGCCCGGGGACGATCTGGCTGGAAACATGCAGCAGGACTATGGATCCCTGGGTTTTGGTAGTACAGTTTTGTCACGAAGTTGCATTTTTTCGTGACGTCGGATCTCAGGGGAGCTCCGAGGCGAATGCAGAGGGAAGAGTAAAGGTGGCGGCGGGGGGTGGGGTGGGGTGGAGAGGGGATCAGGGGGCAAGCTTGGCGCGCTCGCACCACGTCCGTCACCTGGCACTTCCCGCCCATACCTTCCCATTTCCCGCCCGCGCCTTCCCACTGCGCTTATCCTCGACGATCGATGCTCGATCCACTGCTGCCCCCCACTGGGCGCCAGGAGGAACAGGGCATGGCTAACCAAAGGTGGCCTCGGAGGCCAAGAATTCGTCTATGCCCCCGCTCTGGCTCCAAGTGCGCGCGTCGGAGCATGGATAGAACGTCGATCGCCTATATCCCTCTCTTTCTCATTGGCGAGGATGTCAGTTACGGCGCAGAGGTCCGTCGGCCGAGAGACGTCTGGTCGGACAGAGGGGACGCGCACACATTGGGACAACGCCTCGCACGGGGGAGACAGCGCGACATCGATCCCCCGGGAACCAGAGCATGAGGAGGAGGGATGAGGAGGAGGAGGAGGACGAGGAGTAGGAGGAGGAAGAGGACGAGGAGGAGGTGGAGGAGAAGGAGGAAGAGGAGGTCGAGGAGGAGGAGGAGGAGGAGGAGGAGGAGGCGGATGTGTGTGTGTGTGTGTGTGTGTGTTTGGGGGGAAGGAGGATGAGGAGGCAGCCTCGAGCACGTGTGAGCGAAAGATCAAATGGCAGCCCGTCGTTTTTGCCCGCCTCCTCCCCCTCTCCCTCGTCCTCCTCTTCCCTTTCCAATCCTATGTGGTGTTTGATTGGGGCCGCCACTGGTTTCAACGCAAAGCCGCTTCCCGGTTTCACCCGCCAGGGCAGGCAGTTTCTGCAACTACATTGCCCCTTCTTCTGCAACTACATTGCCCCTCCCTCTCCTCCTGCTGCTCCTGCTGCTGCTGCTGATGGCATGAGGTCCTCATCGGTGTTCTCAGTCCCCCTCGTCCTCCTCCTCCTCCTGCTCCTCCTCCTCCTCTCCTCCGCCCTCTTCTGACTACTCATCCCCGCACGTGCTTCATATACCAGGCCATGCCATTGCGCCATCGATGTTCGTTTTTCAAGCCAAGGATTTGCGTGCGGACGCGTTTTCTGCACGGTGGCCCACTCGTCAGTTCGCGCTTGCTTGGAGGTTGCGATGTGCGCGCGTGTGTCTGGGGTCAATGGCGTGGACAAGATGGTAAGAAGACGCCAACAGGGAAATATTAAGAGGCGTCGGACGGGGTCAACACAAATGTATGACCCTCGGCTATCGGGGCCAGTCTCGGCTGCCACTAGCTGTCTGGGGCTTCGGGCGGGTTTGGGGTCTGGATGGCTTGCGTGATCTGAGCGAAATAAACAAGCGTCGAGGGATGACGCCTGCATATGGAGAAGAAAGGAAAACAAATCATTGCAGCGCGCACCGCCGCGCCACCCCAGACAAACGTAGGAACGGGTCAGGGGGGGCATAGAGTTCGGCTGACCCAGAGGCAACGGTGCGGGAGTTGTCTGAATCGTTGAGCCACCTCCTGATTTGGGGTGGGGGGGAGCAGAGCAGTTTCGGAACGCTTTTGTTCGCGAGTGCCTACTTATGGAGGAGTGAGAGGCTACTGGGGCGCCAGACATGCGTTCCGACGCCTCGCTCGTATTTGCCGACCTGGCGCGGATGCGCCCACGGGGACTTCGCGCTTGCACTGCACGGAACGCCTTGTCTGTGCAGGGGCTCTTCGGAGGATCTCAAGACTCGGCGCGTGCGCCCGTTTCTCTTGACGCCCGGGCCTGTGCGAGCCAGCTTCCTCCCCGCCTCCCCTGGCGCTCCCTCGCCCCGTGCTTCCACAGCTGGCCCTAAGCGAGGCCTCCCTCACCGCGGACGAGCAGTTCCTGATGGACCTGAAGGAGAAGTGCCAGATGACGGACCAGGAGGGCACCTCAGAGGAGGAAAAGGTACCCATACCTCTACCCTCCGCCCGTTTTCCCCTTTTCGGGCCTCCTCGGAGGCCCTCGTCGCCACCGCTGGATTCGCCTCGAAATCCTGGTCAGACCGCACCCCGGGAGAGGTCTTGGGAGTAGCGGTATTGGTACCTTTTGGTCTCCCCAGGACCGCGCGGGGGGGCTGAGCGCGCCCGCCCGCGGGCCCGCGCAGCCCCTGACACCCCCGCACCTCGGCCGCTTGGCCCCGATGCCTCGCGGACTGCAGGCTGCCTGTCTACCTCAGCGGGTGAAGCGTCGACGGCACCGGCATCCCAGCTTCACGATCCGTCCGTGTCTCGCCGTCCCATCGCCTTTGTGCCTCCACTCTGCAGCGCCTCTTCTTCCGATGCTTTTGGATGCTGCGCGTGGCTGCTATCACTCGTATGTCGATACGCGTGTGCTTCGGTTGCTGGTGTCGTCGTGGAGGCTTTTGTCGATGTTAAATTTTAGCGGTCCGATACTTACAGGCATGTGCACGCTTCCTCTTTATACATTTCTTAGCATGTGCATGCTTCGTTGCATTATCGACCGAGCCAGCGAGGAGGGGTGACGGCGAACACTCCAGGCCGCCCTTCGAAGGGGTGCCATCGAGGGGCGCCGATACCGCACCCGGCGACGAACAGAGCGCAGTCGAAGTGACTTCTTCGAAGCATTAGCAGCAGCAGGAGCAGGCTCACGAGCAGTAGCAGAGCCGGCAGTCACGGTGGTGGTGGTGACGCCGGGCAGGAGGGGCGGAGTCCACCAGTTTGTGCCTTGATGCACCACCACCCCTCGCCCGCCCGCCCTTGCCACGCCCTCGCCCCTCCATCGTCTAAATTTGATCGCCTGTGAGTCTTCTGGGGCAAACGTTTACCCCGTGGGCGTTGACACATGTTCGTATGGGGACCAGAGATACATGCGGAGATCAGCTCGTTCCTGTAATCCCCTTCCTCACTCGTCGTGCGTTCTCTCCCTCCCCTCCCGGCTCCCCCTGCCATTGGCGCTCGTCCTCTCCTCCCCCTCCCCCTCTCCCTCCCTCTCCCTCTCCCTCTCTCCCCCCGCCCCCCTCCCCCCCTCTTTCTCCCTCCCCTCTTCCCCCTTCCCTCCCCCTCTCTTCTCTCGCCCCCTCCCTCCATCCCTCCCTCCCTTCCTCTCTCCTTCCTCTTCCCCTTTCCCCCCCGCCCCCTCCCACCCTCTCTCGTCTCGAACCCCTTCACTTTCCTGGCCTTTTTCTCTCCCGCGTCTCGAAAGGGTTGGAGGCGGCTCTCTGTCGGTGTGAGAATTGGTTGGAGAAGCCCGCTGTTCCGTCGGGCCTTCTGCAGGAGTGGGAGGCGCGCCAGAAGACGCGCGCCGCCGAGATGGAGGCCGTTTCCAAGGCGTTGGCCATCCTCAGCGGCGACGATGCCCACGACACGTTCCACACTGCGTCCTCTCGAGTCGTGGCACAACTCACGGCGGAGGACGGTTTTTTGCCGGCCTCGGGGGCTCTCGCCGGGCCTCAGGACCGTCAGAAAATTTTCCAGGACGAGGAAGGAGTCCTGGGGAAGGGGTCCAGACCCGTAGGGGTCCACGGTATTAGAGAGCATGACGTCGAGGGTCGAGTTTGCATGCGACACTTCTTGTCGTGTAGCAATTCTTGCTCCATACGATCGACACGCTGGTTTCTGCGGCTTCCTTTCCCTTTGTGCTTTTCGGTGTCTGTGTGTGCCGTGTTCGTCCGCATCTCTCTGTCTCAGGGCGTCTCGCCAGAATGGGAGGGAAGATGAGGTGAAGGAGAGGAGTGCGAGAGGTAAGCAGGATGATGATGATGATGATGATGATGATGATGATGATGATGATGACGATGACGATGATGATGATGATGATGATGATGATGATGATGATGATGATGATGATGATGATGCTGATGCTGATGCTGCTGCTGATGATGATGATGATGATGATGATGGTGGTGGTGGTGGTGGTGATGATGATGATGATGATGATGATGCTGCTGCTGATGATGATGATGATGAGGATGATTGATGATGCTGCTGATGATGATGATGATGATGATGATGATGATGGTGCTGATGATGCTGATGATGATGCTGATGATAGTGATGATGATGATGATGATGATGATGATGATGATGATGATGGTGATGGTGATGGTGATGGTGATGATGGTGATGGTGATGATGATGAGGAGGAGGATGAGGAGGAGGGAGGAGGAGGAGCAAGAGGAGGAGGAGGAGGAGGAGGAGGAGGAGGAGGAGGAGGAGGAGGAGGAAGCCATACCCGCCTCGAGCGGTTGTGGCAGCGCGCTGACCTCCACAGGGGAGGATAGCCGCGACCTCATCCTTGCTTTGCCGACCCTGCGCAGCCATTTCCCTTCACATAGTTCTCCTCATTTCGTACTGTTTCTTCAACTTTCCTCACATCTTGGCGATCTTGCGACGGCATCGCAGCAGCTCAGCAAATCCAGAAAACGTCGAGAACGCGATCGCAAGATTCATATTCTTCGATCACATCAGGAACACGCACGTGTTTCTGCTGTATGCCAGTTCCCAAATTCTATTATTTTGGTTTCACATCCATTGCTTCCGCCGCTTCACTATACGTACCCCCCGAGTCCAAGAAGACGTGGGTTGTTCAACAAAACAATAAGGCGCAGCCTATAATGGTTTCCAGTTGGGAACGTTGCCGTTCAAACCATCCGACTGCATCGCGCACGTACAAAAATGGGCACTCCAATTAACCTTGTTGACGCTCTCCCCAGCGGGGCTGGTGTTGCTGTGATTTTCTCGAGTCCACAGGACCTTCCGATTCGCGCGGACGAAAGTACGCGTCGTGATGATTCTAAAAAGGAGTTAGTGCAGCTCAGAACATGAGGCCGACAATGTTCCGCCGAAGGGAGCAGTGCGTGGGATCAATATTGTATTCGGCACCCCTTTGGTGAGCATCCAGACTTCGACCCAGGCATACGTAAGGCCGAACTTCTCAAAAGGATTCTTCACATTCATGTGCGAGTATTCTCAGGACATTGCACAATTAGCCCAGGAGACCGACGACGCCGAAAGGTCGAGTACCCCGTTGCAGGACCACGCCCCGATTACATCTTGCATGCCTCCGCCCACTCCCGAACCCAGGCCCCCCCCATCCATTCGAGCAGCCATGGCACAGTGTGGATGGACGACCAGGGCCAACTTTTCAAACGCATGTCAATGTGTGGTTGGCTGGCCTTTGACTCAGGGCGCTGCGATTGACATTGGTTGCGCGTGTACTTGCGCGGGAGATAAGATTTTCGCCAAACGCCGACGTGGGCGGCCAGGTCGGTGTTGGGGTGGGGGTTCTGCTTGCCCTCCTGCGGGCCCCAGTGCCGCCTGGGCCGCCAGTGGCTGGGATGGGGGCGCCGCCTTCCCGCCTGCGGCCCCCAGCCGTTTTATCTGAACAGCTTTGCCCGATCGCGCGCATCTCACCCGCAGGTTGTCCATCAAATTCAATCGCTTGGGGATCAGTCGTATCTTCAGTCTGATGATTGATGTCCCTGTCTGTTGTTGCCACACGAATTGAGTTGATTTAAGATCATATTACTCTCTCACTGTATGGTCGTCTATGGTGGCATCGAGGTGAATTAAGGGCATGTGGAGGTGGAGAGCAGCGGTGGTGGTGGTGGTGGTGGTGGGCGGCAAATAAAACCTGCCAGCCCCGTTGCTACAGGCCGTCCGGCGCGCACTCGGCGCGTCGCCCTACGAAGGATGTCTTTTCGTGTAACATGCGTGGTGCGCATTCCATGGTGGGGCGGTGGTGGGGGAGGTCGAGAAGGAAGGTGGGGGTGGATGGAGGAACCAGCGTCGATTCAAGGCCCGCGGGCAGCCATCGCTTCTGTGCCAGCCCCACCGTGGCTGGATTACCCGGAGGCTGATCTCGCGGATTCCGGCCTCCCAGCGAGAGCTTGTCAACCGCAGTCCCAGCCTGCTAAAGGCCAGCCGGTGCCGTCCTGGCCAGCCTGTCAGCAAATGCAAGCGCAGCCGCTCTGCCATCGCATCGGGGCTTTGTCCCTCGCAGCTCTTGATCTTTCGTGTCGTTACCTCGCCCTCTCTTTGTCGCCAGCTCTACTCCTTCCTCACTTTACGTTTTGCCTGCTGTGTTATCCTACGCTACCTCGTTGCCTCAACCCTCACATTGTGCGACTGTTTTTTTGTTGATTTTTCCCTTTCCGCTCTGTCCCCGCCCCTGCCGCCTGGTTTTTTGGGCTTCCCCCGCCTTGGCTTCGCTCTTCCGCTCTTTCGGCTCCCCGAGTGCCGGGCAAGATGAGAGCAGCATGATGTCTCTTATCACGTGTTGTCACATGTGTTGATTTTGTCACATGCGTGATTCGCTTTGTATGGCTGGGGTGGTGGAAGCGTCTTCATGAGGTGAGGTTGAGGGTGGGGGCCGAGGCTGAAACTATGCGAAGCATTTAACGTCAATCGTGCACGCGCGACCAAGCAGCCAGGGAACGATATCCGTTGCAACGCTTGTTTCGGTCGTGGTTATCATTGGCGAGGAGCGGAGGCGGAGTTTGAGTGTGGATGGGGGTGAGGAATGTAAGGGGAGCTCAAGAGGAGGCTGGCCTTACAGGCCAGCCTTGCGACGCTCCGATCGCTTTACAGACAGCTTGAAAACGTGGGTTCGTGCTAAACCCGAGAAGGTCAGCCCCAAAAACACGAAGGTCTTGGCGCCGACGTGGTTCGGGGTGACCCCACAAACTTTGGGCGGCAACCCAAAACTGCCATACTTTTGTTATTTTTATCCTATATATTGCATTGCCTAGATTCGTGCCGTAACTGTTTATTTACTTGCTTTATTTGCCAACAGTTTCTGTTTGTCCGCATGAGGCCAGCCAGCGCAGCTTGTGCCAGCCCTTCACCTCTACGCAGTGCCTCGAGCATAGTTCTCGGCAGCAAATGCCTTGATCCACGGAAGGGGCCTGGCTTTATGTTGAGGTGCTGGGGGTGATATGGCAGTAACGTGCTTGCCTGCCTACTTGGCGGGCGCCTACTCTTTTTTCTCCATTTGTCGCTGGCCCGTTTTCCAGCTTAGTTCGCGGTGCCCGCCAAGTACTTTTCGCCGCGTCTGGTCTACGCTGTTTTTCATCTGTTTTCCTTTACCGCCACAGCGTCACGCTCAGGTTGGTCGAACGTGAACACAAAGGAGGAGGAAGGGGGGATGGGGAGATGACACCGGGGAGGAGGAGGAGGAGGAAGAGGAGGAGGAGGAGGAGGAGGAGGAGGAGGAGGAGGAGGAGGAGGAGGAGGAGAGGGAGGGGAGATGACACGGGGGACCAGCATGAGGAGGAAGAGGACGACGAGGCCCCCGTCGGCAGGTTCACGCGCACGTTCAACCCCGCCTTCCTGCAGACCCGCCTTCGCCGCACGGGCGACCGCCGCCAGGCGGCGACCTCTCCGATAGCAGATGCAGAGGCCTGGTGAGGAGGCGGCTTCCAGCGAAGGCGCCCGCGGCCACATAGATTTCAGTCAACCCGCTGAGTAAGGATGGGCAACCTTCCCAATTGTACCGTTGCATCCTTGCCTCCTCGGCCCATCCTTGGCCACTTGCGTTGGCCGCGCCATGATCGAAAATTCTCGAAGTGGGCGCCCAAGGCCCTTGCATCCTTATCCCGCATCCTTGCTATACGGGTTGACTGTAGGTTCCCCTCGTGGGCGCGAAGCTGATTGCGATTCGCGCGTCGCGGTCCAGGCCAGAGAGCTGCCCTTCTCCAGAGGAGGCCTCGCGAGGGCGCGAAGATAACCGCGCGTCACGCATCGCGGGGCGCGATGCGCGAAGTTCGGCTGCATATGAGTATATCCGTAAGGGCTTCGCCCCTTCCGCCAGCCCCTTCTCAATCATAATGGGATATGTAAGAGTCGCGTCGATGCGTCTCGGCGCTGCCTTGGCGCATCTGGGAACATCATGCGGGGGCGGATAGGAATCATCAGCGCACATTGAGACGTTGGCGTTATCGAAGACGCATACGGCGAATAACCACCGCCCCCTGCCCCTTTGGAAGCGCCTCTGTGGCCGACAGCTGGGCCAGAGCTTGGCCAAGCTATCGGGCCAGTTGTTCCCGAGTCGGTTTGGAAAGACTTCGGGGAACGCATGGGGGAGCAAGAAGAGGAGGAGTGGGAGGATGAGGAACAAGGAGGAGGAGGAGGAGGAGGAGGAGGAGGAAGAGGAGGAGGAGGAGGAGGAGGAGGAGGAGGAGGAGGAGGCCTCTTGGGCGCCTCTTGGGGCACTCTTGGGGCCTCCTGGGAGCTTCCTGGGGGCCTCTTGGAGGGTTTTTGGGGGCTTCTTGGGGGCCTCTTTGGCCGTCTTAGTGCGCTCCTGGCTTGTCTGACGCCGTCGGACGCCGTCTTAGGGGCCTGTCTGGGTCGTCTTGGGGCTCTTTTGGGGCATATCAGGGGTTCTTAGAGGCCATCTTGGGCGTCGTGGAGGCCTCCTGGGCCGTCTTCGGGCCCTCTTGGGGCCGTCCTGAGCGCCTTTTGGTCCGTCATGGGGCCATCTTGGAGGCCTCTTGGGCAATCTTGGGGGCCTCTTGCGCCGTCTTGAGCCGTCGGAATGTTGAGAAGAAGCAAATGCCACAATCTTTCAACACCTTTAGGACAATCAATGATTTTGGCCTCTTCGGTTCCTCCTGGAAGACCTCCTGGACGCCTTTGAGGCCGTCTTGGAGGCCTCTTGGGGGCTTCTGGGGCCGTCTTGGGCCATCTTGAGGCCATCTTAGGCCGTCTTGGGTGCATCTTGGGCCGTCTTGGAGGCATCTTGGGGCCATCTTAGCCGTCTTGGAGGCCATTTTGGCTGTCTTGGAGGCCTCTTGGGCCCTCTTGGGGCCGTCTTGGGGGTTTCTTGGGCCGTCATGGGGCCATCTTGGAGGCCTCGTGGCGATCCTAGCAGCCTCTTGGGCCGCCTTAAGCCGTCGGAATGCCGAGAAGAAGCAAATGCCCAAATCCTTCAAAATCGTCAGGTAATCTAATGATTTTAGTCTCTTCGGGTTCTCCTGGAGGACCAGGACCTCTTGGAGACCTTTTGGGCCGTCTTGGAGACCTCTTGGGCCGTCTTAGGCCATCTGGAAGCCATCTTAGGCCGTCTTGGATGCATCTCGGGCCGTCTTGGAGGCCTTGGTGGGTTCCTGGCCCGTCTGACGCCGACGGGAGCCGACTTGTGGCCTTTCTGAACTGGCTTGGGGCCCTCTTGGGGCGCTTCGGGGCCGTCTTGGAGGCCATCTTGGGCGTCTTAAAGGCCTCTTGGCCCGTCTTGGGGCCCTCTTGGGGCCGTCTTGGGGGCCCTTGTGCCATCAAGGGGCCCTCTTGGAGGCCTCTTGGGCGATCTTGGGGGCCTCTTAGGCCGTCTTGATCCGTCGGAATGCCGAGAAGAAGAAAATGCCCCAATCCTTCAAAAACCCAGAGCAAATCAATGGTTTTGGGCCTTTTCAGACCCTTCTGGAGGACCTCTTGGAGGCATCTTGGGTCGTGTTGGGCCGTCTTGGAGGCCTCTTGGGCGAACGTGGAGGTATCTTGGACTCTCTTGGGCCATCTTGGAGGCCGTCAAGGACCATCTTGGGCGGACTTGGAGGCCATCTTGGACCATTTTGGAGGCCATCTTGGGCCAACGTGGCCATCTTGGAGGCCATCTTGGGCCATCTTGGAATATTTTTTTCCGGATTGAGGTCCTTGGCAATCTTTCCGGGTGGCCGGCGGGACGGGACGGGCCGAAGCCCCTGGGGGAGTTCTTTTGGAAAAAGAACCAAAACCAAAACCGAGAGGGTTCAGCACGCCATCTACCCCTGCGATGAATCGACAGAGGGCGGTGGATCGAAGATGCCTACGGCGAATCACCGCCGCCCCCTGCCTTTTTGGAAGCGCCTATGTGGCCGAAAGTTGGGGCCAGACCTGCCAAGCTATCGGACCATGTGTTCCCCGAGTCGGTTTGGAAATCCTTCGGGGAACACGTGGGCATCTTGAAGGTCATTTGGACCCTTTCGGGCCTTCTTGGAGGACGTCTTGGGCGATCTTTGGGGGCACTTGGGCCGTCTCGGGCCGTTGGAAAGCCGAACAAAAAGCAAATGCCACAATCCTTCAAAAACTATTGGGAAATCACTGATTTTGGCTTTTCCGGGCCTTCTGGAGGCCCTCTTGGAGGCCTCTTGGGCCGTCTTGGGCCATCTCAGGCCCATCTTCGGCCGTCTTGGTGGGCTCCTGGCCCGTCTGAAGCCGTCGGAAGCCGTCTGGGGGGCCTCTCTGGGCCGACTTGGGGCCCTCTTGGGGCGCTTTGGGACCATCTTGGAGGCCATCTTGGGCGTCTTCAAGGCCTCCTGGGCCGCCTTGGGGGCCTCTTTGGGCCGTCTTGGGGGCCTCTTGGGCCGCTCTGGGGCCATCTTGGAGGCCTCTTGGGCGATCTTGGGGCGATCTTTGGGGGCTCTTGGGCCGCTTGGGCCGTCGGAAGGCCGAACAAAAAGCAAATGTCAACATCCTTCAAAACTATTGGGAAATCAATGATGTTGGCTTTTTCGGGCCTTCCTGGAGGCCCTCTTGGAGGCCTCTTGGGGCGTCTTGGGCCATCTCAGGCCCATCTTCGGCCGTCTTGGTGGGCTCCTGGCCCGTCTGAAGCCGTCGGAAGCCGTTTGGGGGGCCTCTTTGGGCCGACTTGGGGCCCTCTTGGGGCGCTTCGGGGCCGTCTTGGAGGCCATCTTGGGCGTCTTAAAGGCCTCCTGGGCCGTCTTGGGGGCCTCTTTGGGGCCGTCTTGGGGGTCTCTTGGGTCGTTCTGGGGCCATGTTGGAGACCTCTTGGGCGATCTTGGGGCGATCTTTGGGGGCTCTTGGGCCGTCTCGGGCCGTCGGAAGGCCGAAAAGAAGCACATGTCAAAATCATTAAAGAAATTGTAGGACAATCAGTGTTTCTAGCTTTTTCTGGCCTTCCTGGAGGCCCTCTTGGGGGCCTCTTGGGCAGTCTTCGGCCAGCTTCGAGCCAACTTCGGCCATCTTGGTGGGTTCCTGGCCCGTCTGACGCCGACGGGAGCCGACTTGTGGCCTTTCTGAACTGGCTTGGGGCCCTCTTGGGGCGCTTCGGGGCCGTCTTGGAGGCCATCTTGGGCGTCTTAAAGGCCTCTTGGCCCGTCTTGGGGCCCTCTTGGGGCCGTCTTGGGGGCCCTTGTGCCATCAAGGGGCCCTCTTGGATGCCTCTTGGGCGATCTTGGGGCGATCTTGGGGGCCTCTTGGGCCGTCTTGAGCCGTCGGAATGCCGAGAAGAAGCAAACGCCTAAATCCTTCAAAAGCGTAAGGAACATCAATGAGTTGGGCCTCTTCGGACCCTTCTGGAGGACCTCTTGGAGGCATCTTGGGTCGTGTTGGGCCGTCTTGGAGGCCTCTTGGGCGAACGTGGAGGTATCTTGGACTCTCTTGGGCCATCTTGGGGGCTGTCTCGGACCATCTTGGGCGGACTTGGAGGCCATCTTGGACCATCTTGGAGGCCATCTTGGGCCAACGTTTTCCGGATTGAGGTCCTTGGCAATCTTTCCGGGTGGCCGGCGGGACGGGCTGAAGCCCCCGGGGGAGTTCTTTTGGAGAAAGAACCAAAACCAAAACCGAGAGGGTTCAGCACGCCAGGCACCCCTGCGATGAATCGACAGAGGGCGGCGGATCGAAGACGCCTACGGCGAATCAACGCCGCCCCCTGCCTTTTTGGAAGCGCCTATGTGGCCGAACGGCCAAGCTATCGGACCATGTGTTCCCCGAATCGGTTTGGAATGCCTTCGGGGAACACGTGGGCATCTTGAAGGTCATTTGGACCCTTTCGGGCTTTCTTGGAGGACGTCTTGGCGGGCTCTTGGGCCGTCTTGGAGTCCATCTTGAGCGTCTTGGAGGACTCTTGGGCCGTCTTGGGGGCCTCTTGGGGCCGTCTTGGGCCTCTTGGGCGATCTTTGGGGGCACTTGGGCCGTCTCGGGCCGTTGGAAAGCCGAACAAAAAGCAAATGCCACAATCCTTCAAAAACTCATGGGAAATCAATGATTTTGGCCTTTCCGGGCCTTCCTGGAGGCCTTCTTGGAGGCCTCTTGGGCCGTCTTGGGCCATCTCTTGGCCATCTTCGGCCGTCTTGGTGGGCTCCTGGCCCGTCCGACGCCGTTGGAAGCCGTCTGGGGGGCCTCTCTGGGCTGACTTGGGGCCCTCGTGAAATGCTCCAGGGCCGTCTTGGAGGCCATCTTGGGCGTCTTAAAGGCCTCCTGGGCCGTCTTGGGGGCCTCTTGGGGCCGTCTTGGGGGTCTCTTGGGTCGTTCTGGGGCCATCTTGGAGGCCTTTTGGGCGATCTTTGGGTGATCTTTGGGGGCTCTTGAGCCGTCTCGGGCCGTCAGAAGGCCGAACAGGAGCAAATATCGAAATCCTTTAAAAGCCTAAGGAC